ACATATAATGTCAGAAGGAGACGAGAGCTTTGAAAGAAGGCAGTGAAAAGGTCTGTGGAGTGTCTGGGAAGGGCTTGCTATGGAAGACGGGCAGTCACAAAAGGACTGTGGATGAGGCGACATTTGATGGATGGTGTAGGGTGGACACTACGTAGATTTCTGGGGTGGGGGAAGTGCTCCACAGAAGAGAAAACAAATGCAAGGATCCCAACTCAGAAACCCCTTTGGCATGCTTCCAGGACTGTAATTAGGGTAGGACTGTAACTCAAGGGTAGTTTTCTGGTTATTCTACATCAATAGAATATGAGGATCATATAACAATACACAAAACATTATTATTGCCAATAACATAGTAAAAAATAATAAGGAAAATAAAAAAAACAAAACAAAACAACATTTTTCTCCCAAGTGACCTCCAAGTAAAAATGATAAAGCTTCAGGAGTCTGGAGGCAACAACAGAAATTTCTCCACATTCACAGGATTAAAGAGTTGATCATCTATGTTTCTCTGAATCTCTGAGATAATAGGTACTTGGTTGAATAATCAGTGCAAAGAATATCATTCTAGAACTGACACCAGACCTGTAATCTGGTAGAATGAAGAGTCATCTTTCATGTGTAAATGATCTGTTTTATCACTGTTTAAAAACTCATTTCTGCATGGACAGAAAACACGGGCAAAAAAGAAAAAGCTATAAAAGTTCTTGGTAAACAGCAAGTTTATATATTAAGGGTAATTCTTAGCTAACCTCACCTGGAATCCCAAGGTAATTATAACTTTATTTTGTGACCCTTGCTGGCTCCAATTAGTTCATGTAACCACAGGTACAATTGCAAATAACTTGTCATTTTTTTCTTAGAGGCCTTTTTAATTCAGAGAGCAGCTCAAAATATTAACTCTATAGATCAAAGTGCATTAGCATTAAAAACAAAGCTCTCTACATAAATCCCCTCTAAAGACTGATGGAATGCAACACCATCCTGACATTTTACTTAAAAAAAAAATAGAACGCTATACTCTTCATTTTGTTTACTTATTTTTTTAAAAAAATCTACTGTCAGTTAAAGATACACAATTTTAAACAGCTCATAATGTTTTACCATGCAAAAAAAATCATAATGGTTGTTTTCCTATCCCTAAATGAAGTAAGCATAATTTCAAACAAAATCACTTGTATAATTACTGAGCTATGACAACCATTCATCTGGTTGGTAACAGGAAGAAAAGGTAATATTCCCCCAGTCCTCAAAGTTAATTAGCTAATGTAAGCATTGGCGAACCACACCAGTTTCCAGATGGGAGGGTCACTTCTGACTCACCGCAATTTATCAAATGCGTCCATCAGATACTCCTTCTGTAAGGAGGGAGGCGTGGTAATTACTCAAGAGTTAGAGACCCTTCATGAAGGTGAGAACCTTGAGAATCCGTCCTTCCTGGACTCGCCAATCTGAAATATCTTCATGCATGGAGCTTGCATGAGGCTCAGACCACAGGCATCTCAGTAGATGGTTGAGATTAGAATGTGTGGCGAAGGTGATCAATATAAGTATGGCTTGAGAGGCTTGCAATACATCAGGTAAACCCAACTCTGATGTTGGTGTTTCAGAAACCATTTAACACGGCAATAGCACAGAGTGGAAAAGAAACGGGAAACTGCACTGGCCACAGGGACCTTGATGGCTAAGTCAGTACCCCGGTGGGTGGCATTTTGAAACGCTGTTGTCAAGTTCCATGGCATCATTTCCCTGTACATTTTATGTATCTAAAGTTACTTCTTTTTATAGAAATAATACAGAACCACCACTTTTTAAAAAAACGTGTTTCAGGTCATTCTGTAACGGATGAGCTCAGTCATCAGAAGCAAGTAGAGACCTATTTAAAGGAGAGAAGGATGACATGCTCAGGGCTCCTAAGAGCTGCCACGGTGAGAAACTTATGGTTTTTAATTGGAGAAAGTGTGTGCTATTGCGAGGGATGCCAGCCAGGAAGCAGGTCACGACTCACTGAGCTCATGTTTCCTCTTCACACCTGCGTGAGGGTGTCGATGGCTCACCATAGAAAGGACGAAAACAGGCCTGAAGGCTGAGCTCAATGCGTAGAGCCAGCGTGCTGCCCAGTGTGGTAGCTACCAGCCACATGTGACCATCGGTCACCAGCAATGCCGCTGGCCTGAAATGGGCTGCACTCTAGGTATAAGCCCGCAACATAGTATATATCTAAAATACGAAAGTATGTAAAACATCTCTTCGTAATCTTTACATTGACTGTGGGTTAAAATGATACTATGTTCTGTATTGGGGTTAAACGAAAATGTTACCAAAGCTAAATTCACCTGTTTTCTTTTTATCCTTTTAATCTGGCTACTAAATATTTCAAAATTACATATGGAATTTGGGGGACCAAACTCGCACCATCTCCTAGTTATTCAATCACACGCTAACGTAGGTGCTCCTGTGAAGGGACCTTGCAGGTGCACCTGCAGTCCCTTATCAATTGACTTTCAGTTAAGGAGATTATTCTGCCCGGCCTTTACTAAACCGGTTGGCAAGCCTCTCCAGAGGGCTGAGAACTTTCCTTAGAGAGAGAAAGGCTCCTGTCTGCAGACAGCAGCTCTGGCCTGTCCCTGGGGGTCCTGTCTGCTCACTCCCTCCCCTTCCTGACAGCCCATCCTCAGGATTCAGGCTGACGTAGCCGACCCCACCAGCCCTGCAAGCCAATTCCTTGACCTAAACACACACACACACACACACGTTCGCGCGCACACACACAGACACACACACATTTCCATCCTACTAGTTCTGCTTCTTTGCTTGAACACTGGCACATGCATAGTCTGGTACTTGGACATAGGGTGCTGCTGTAACAAACATGGGGGCAGCTTTGGAACTGGGTGGTGGGTCAGGGCTGAAGAAAATTTGAGGAGCACCACAGAGAAAGTCTCAAATGCATCCAACATACTATGAGCAAAAAAATCTGTGTTTTAAAGACACTGTAGGTAGGGCTCCAAAGGAGTGAGGGAGATGTTGCCGGAAACTTAAAGGCATGGCAAAAGCTTAGCAGCAGGGGCTCTGTGATTAGGCAGGGTGCAGGACTTCCAAGTGACAATGTAGATCTACAGTGAAGGAGATGCCCGGGCCGTGTGTTGAAGGTCCCTTTGGTTTCTTCTTGATGCTTATATTAAAATGTGAGAGAGGAGAATTATTAAACAAAAAGCAGCTGGACTGGATGATTTTGAAACTTCTCAGCCTCTCCAGATGGCAAAGGATGCTCCAATTTGGAAATGGCTCCTAAAAGTTCCAGCACAGAGAAAAAGCTGGGTGTGTGACTACATGACCTTTTGCTGGAACCTCAGAACACTCCAGGTCAGAGCATGAGTGTGCAGCCACAAATGGGGTACACCTCTAAGAACTGAGGGTTTCCCACACAGACCTTCTCCACCAGCCCAGAGGTCCCTAGAAGGAGGAAGAGCACCGGCCCCCTGGCACCACAGCAGGAAAAGAGTACCTCAAAAATATCTGTGGCCCGTGGCTTTCGTAACTGAATGAACTCTAGTAAAACACATCCCTCTGTGAAAACACTTTCTTAAGAGTTGTTTCCAGCTACTCTTAGTCATTATTAAAGAAAGTTAAAAGTCATACATTTAAATAAGGACTAAATAAGTACTCGGTGATAATCAAGGTATATCTAATTTAAGCAAAACAAGTGAATCACCAGGTGGGAGGAGAGAGGAGGGGACGGGTGGAGTTGGACACTCTCTGCCTTTGGAGCAGGAAGAAAGAGGTGGGTGCTGGCGATTGGGGCAGCTGTCATGAGAAGTCATACACCTGTCCTAAACAGGACACTGCGGAAGAGGTGCGCTCTTCCGAAATGTGGTCAGGCGGGACATGAGAATCTATAAGAACAGGAAGTCAAGAAGACTGCTCCATAATTATCTCTGGAGTAAGTGGGTGGTGGGTTGTGGAGGATGCACAAACATCAGCCCAGATGTTTTCTAAGAGATAAGGACCTCAGGGTTCTGATACCAGTCAGGTGATGAGGTGGAGGTCACGGGATACTGAGAAAGTGTTGAGCCAAACATTTTTCATAGCCAAAATGTTTAAAATAAAAAAAAATACTTTTTATAACCAAAATGTTTAAAATTATAAAGACAAGGGATATAATATTCTCATATATCAAACTTTCCTTTTTATTCCTTGGTCAAACGAGTGCATTTATTTTCTTTAAAATTACTAATTTTCAGAGATTATTTTATGGCCAGAATTCAAAAATGAAACCCCCCAAAAAAACCCTAGTTTTTCTTTTAATCATTCCATTTTAACACAAGTATACTAGTTTTTCTGCTGGTTTCAGTATAATCTCTATAATCCTGGTAGGATAATACATATACTTCATAGAAGTGTTACATAAGTACTTGGACCTCTGATAACTGCATATATATATATTTTTTTAAATGTGATAGTGATAATGATGATGAATATTTTCTTTGCTAGGTATGTCAAAAATTAGTTTAAGATAATTTACTGATAAAATGGTGACTTTGAACAACTCTCTTTAACACTCATATATTCAAAACCTAAAAATTCAACCTCACTGAAATTGAAAGGTGATTTTCAATTTTAGATTTTTAGATTTTATGGGGTGTACCTAAAATATTCCAAAGGATCTGGTTATGTAACATATAGTCATATATATACATACTGTATAGACAGATATATAGATAGATCTACCTTATATTGAGTAAGTGTGTGTATGAGTTTGAATAATTAGATTTGCCCATAGCTGTCCTGCAATATAAAATATGCAAATACCTTTTGAAATATTTGTCTCCTAGCAAATCTAAAGAATACTTCTTTCATTACTCACATCTCAAGGAAAACATGCATCATTACCAAGTTCTGCACTGTGTATGGACAATGCTTTACACCTAAATTGCATGTTCAGAAGGGAGTTCCATTGTGGAGAGAGAGAGTTTCTGGGCTGTAGCCCGCAGGTGCCTCACCTCTGCAGATTGGCCGGTGGTCACTCCAAGCAGCAAGTGTCTCCGTGACTCTCTGACAGGTGATGCTCTTAGACCCTTGGAGCACATAGTTGTCCTCACAGGAGAACTGAACATTTGCACCAACCCTAAGCAGTGACAAAACAAAACAAAATCCAAATTACTCACAGAAGATATTCTATAAAAAAGTGGCTGCTACAATGTTCTGCAGTCAAAACAATATAAAACATTAAGCAATTCATTCAATATTATTGACATAGGTAACCCTGTGATTTAGCAAAGGTTACAAAATTTTAAAAAACCTGGCTTGAGGTATCTGTTCTTCCCATTTCACAGCTAAACAGACATATGAACCTTAACTTGTCACCTTTAAAATAGGGAAAATGGCAAAGGTGACCTCACTGAGTGTTGTGGTTTCCATAAGAAGATTTATGGGAAAGAGTTTTGTGCCCTGAAAAGAAAACAAAGGTGGATGTCATTCTTCGTGAATAAATACCTTAAAAGCACAAGAACTGAGAAAGTCCAGGTTAAGAAAATGTCTCCGTAAAGAATCTATGTTACTATCACGGACATTAATTATACTTAAAAGAAGGCCAGTGGCATTATATTTTAGAAATACTTCTTACAGGAAAAGAATCATTTGTTTTAGAAAAAAAGCAATCCATCCAGCCTAGAGTTAGTTGAAAAATTGCTTTGGCTCCAGAGTTGCATCTGCAAACACGAAGCCTTAGGGTTGTAAACATTAACAGAACGCCGTCATAGGATGACATTTGGACAGGTGCATAAAGAAGTATTGGGGCATACATCAAGTTTGAACACACCCAATTACTTCTTCTAAGCCTGGCAGCTGACATTAAGTTGAGGATTGTGTTATTTTACTATCTGACGAGAGGAAACTACCCATGAATTTCTTATTTCAAATAACCAAGAGGCCGATGTTGACGAAACAGGAAGTGAAAGAGGGAGGCTTTGAAGGAAAAAGATGCACAGTCATCAACATGGATGGATGAAGTAAATAGTGGAGAAAAGAGGGGAAATAAACAGATGCTTTCCTTTCTTGCTTATTGAAAAACATCCACATCTACAATATTGGACTGAACACTATTCAAGTCATATCATACCAGCTTCTCCCAGAATATCTATATAACACTTTCTCCCTGGGGAGTGTCACCCATGTCCACGAATATTATCAGAGTCAAACAAATTTGGGAAGTTCTAGGTTAAACAAAATTAAACATCTTTCCTTTCCAAAGGGACTTTTCAGCTTAATGTAATTTAATGGGCAAAACTTATTTTACCTATTTAAGGGAATGTAAAATATGTGCATTGTTCCAGATTTGCCCATCTAGGAAGCACTTTTTGCACCTAGAATCCTGGACAACTGGAGTTCTGTGGACCCAATTTTGAGAAACACTGCATCAAAAGTAAAATAATATGTATATTCTTGAATGTGAAGGGTATAAAAACCAACACTCAGACATAATTCCCACTGTTATTCTCTGTCATAAGTTAAGGCAGCTATAATTTATAAAGATATCCCTCCTTAATTTCTGCTCACTGATCTTTGTTTAAACCTCAGAGCCACATGAAATAAATGAGATAAATGCAAGAATTTTGTTGTGAAAACCATAATTGTATCCTTGTGTTCTCTATTGCAGGCACCAAACTGCAGTTCTTTCTATGTATGTATATTTCAATTATCCATGATCTTCATAATTCTTTTTGATATTTGTAATTGAGAAGATACTGTGGGTCCTACTCTATTCTAAGTACCAAAGAGGCCAAAGCAGATTATACAGACAAAGCCCTGGTCTCAGGGAGATAACATTATAGTTAACTACAACAACAAACCCAACAATCAAATCAAATATAACAAAAATGAGAGGATATCATAAGTGCTATGAAGGAAATAAACAAAATGATATGATTGCTGATGAGGTAGGGAGAGTTGGAATTTGAGAGAATGTCACCATCCTCTTAACTGAAGTGTTAATATCTAGAATAGCATTCCAGAAGTTGTCAAACAAAAAGAAAGGGAAGTGGGATTATTGGTTCCACTTGGCAATCACATATTTCACTGCAGCAACGTGCAACTCATCAGTTATGGGGTGCAGTCTGCTTCGGCACAACTTCTGCTTCTTACATACATTTTCCCCATGCATCCAAACAATATTCCTTTAGGTATTATTAGTGAAGTATATTCTGTTTTGAGGGAAAAAACCCAATCAATAAACATAAACCACCAAAGTGCAGTCAACAAAAGCAAAAAAATAAATTAAAAAAAAGAAAAGAAAGGTAAATGAGCTGGCATCAAACTAAAAATCTCATACACCATAAAGGAAACCTAACAGAAAGAAGAGACAACCTACAGAATGGGAAAAAATATTTGTCAACTATGCATCTGATAAGAGGTTACTATCTAAATACTTAAAGAACTCAAACAACTAAAAGCAAAAAAAACCCAAATAGCCCAGATAAAAACTGGGCAAAGGACCTGATAGACATCTCTCAAAAGAGGACAAAAAATGGCTAATGGTATATGAGCAGGTGCTCAGCATCATGAGTCATCAGGGAAATGCAAATTAAAGCCAGGATGAAAAATGTCACCTCGCACATGGTAAGATAGCTGTCATCAACAAGACAAAAGCTAGCAAGTGTTGGTGAAGATGTGGAGAAACAGGACACTGTTGGTGGAAATGAAAATTAGTAAAGCTTTTATGAAAAACATACAGGGGCTCCTCAAAAAATTAAAAAGAGAACTACCATATAACTCAGCAATTTCTCTTCTGAGTATGTATCTGAAGGAAATGAAATTAGCCTGTCAAAGAGATGTCTGCATCCCATGGTCACTGCAGCATTACTCACAACAGCCAGGATATGGAATCAACCCACGTGTCCACTATGTGGATAAAGAAAATGGATGAAGAAAATGTGACAGACACTCACGATGGGATACTATCCAGCCTTAAAAATGAAGGAAATGAAGAAAATGCAACAACTGGTCGAATCTGGAGGACATTATGCAAAGTAAAATAAGCCAATCACAGAAAGACAAATACTGCATGATCTTAATTATAGATGGAATCTAAAAACATATGACATATGACCTGTAGGAGCAGAGTATAGAAGGGTGATTACCAGGGGATGGAGGGAGGAGGGGCGTGGAGAAGATGTTGGCCAAAGGACATGAACTTCAGTTAAAAGGAATAAGTTCAGGAGATCTATGGTGACTATGGTTAATAACACAAAATCACTTAGAGAGATGTTAAATGTCGTCACCACACACACAAATCTTAAGTCTGTAGGGTAATGAATATCTTAATTAGCTTGTTTTAGCCCTTGCACAATCCATAGTTCAAAACATCATGGATACCATAAATATATACAATTTTTGTCAATTTAAAATAAAAAAAACTTAACAGCATTGCTCTAGGACTAACAGATCTAATTTTTGGCAATATAATGTATGTTTATCATCCAAAATATGGAAAAAATATGGCCAGCAATGTTCTTGGGAAAACAAGAAAGTGTCTAATACAAGGACCATGTTTGACTAACTTATTTCAGGTATGTTTGAAAGAATTCAATAGTGCTACATAAAAGGTGGACATAAAAATATGTAGCAATACAGAAAAAAGAAATGATATGAAATTGTATGTTCCCCAGATGACACTGGTATCCATATCTACATGTACATCTATAGATCAGGAAAAATAGGCACAAAACTATTTTTGAGTGGTAATATCACTACTGTGTTTCCCCGAAAATAAGACAGGGTCTTATATTTATTTTTCCTCAGGAAGACACCCTAGGGCTGATTTTCAAGGGATGTGTTATTTTTTTTAAGTACAGTACAACAATCTACATTAATTCAAATATAGTTAAGTTGTCTTCTTCTGGAACATCATCTTAACTCTCCAAACCCTGAATTCCATCCTGAATTTCTTGCGACTCTATTTCCTTTAGAACCACTGGCCCTAATCTCTCATGTCGAGCGATAGAGCTCTCCTGGGGCAGATGAGAAGGGCTGCTCCTCTTCTTTACCGCTCCACAACGAAATGCATGGGTTGTGCAGATGCGCTGCGTAGCCACGCCATCACTAGGGCTTATTTTTGGGGTAGGGCTTCTATTGCGCAAATGCTTAGAAATCCTTCCAGGGCTTATTTTATGGGTAGATCTTATTTTCTGGGAAACACGGTATAAGTAAACTTTTGTTTCTACATTCGAATAATTGTATTTCTTCCAGTTTCATTACTTTATAATTTAATTAAAAAAAAAAAACTTTTCAGTTGCCACTAGTAGACTGTCCCTCCATTCTCACTCATTGAGAACGGCTGCACACACTTTCTGAGACACTAGCACAGTTCTCACTCATCTCAGACTGTCATCAAACACTCAGAAAGTCCATTCCAGCACAGAGATGAGGACCCGACCTAACGCTTTACGATCATCATCTGGTATCACAATCTAGTCCAGAAGTCTCTGCTTGGGGCATTCACCTTCAGTACATTTAGAGGACAATATAGAACTCATTCCTTAATTACTGTCATAAAACCCTCTCGCAAATGATCGGAAATAGCCATCAATAAAATATTGGGGCTTCACTACTTTCAAGGCTTTAAAATTATTAACAAGAGCATCTTCTCTGTGTGATTGCAGGCTACGGGCAGAGCCAAGGAGGGAAAACTCGCTCCCAGCAGCAGAGCTGAGTAGTCTCTGCACTGCAATGAATCAAGATGAGGCTGAAGCTAAATACGACCCAGATTCCAATCTATTAATTCAGCCTTTTGCTTTGGCTCTATCTAGCACATGGATCGGTTCTGTTTAGAAGTCTTGTATGCTTTCAACTTCAAATATACAATAAACTACGTTTTCACTGATTTATGATCACTGTGTCAGACGTAAGATATATTAGATATAACATTAGATCATCTAATTTGGTTCTCTGAAAAGCAGTCAGAAGAAAATTCCAGGGGAAAAAAAGCTCTTAGTGCTTGTCCATTGGCAGGTAAATTTGGAACACCTTAGATTAATTATGTTGCACAATTGAGACAACTGCTAGTAGTTTGCAACTGTAGGAAACAGCAGAGAACTGATTCTGTATAAGATCAAGATATACCACACATTG